CGGGCTACCAAGCCTTGGCTCAAAGGATGTTGTTGTTGTTGTTGTTGTCCTTGTTGTGTGCCTTCAAGTTTCTTCAGAGGACAGTTTGACGCGGGCATCCTCTGAGGCTGACAGAGAGTGACTTGCCCAAGTTCACCCAGTGGGTTTACATGGCTGAGGCAGGATTCGAACCCTGGTCTCCAGAGTCATAGTCCAACGCTCGGACCACTATGCCACGGCGGCTCTGGCTCCCAGGATGCTTCTGAAAATAGGGAAAGGTCAGCCAGGCCCAGCGATTTCCCTGCCGTGGACGGAAGGTGCCTTTTCCCCTTCTCCTCTGCTGGACGATCTTGCGCTTCCCAATCAATGCCTTGCTAAATTGCGCCGTCATCGTCCCATAAAGCGAAGCCATAAAAGCCTCCGCACCGGAATGGCAGCAACCACAGGACGGCTTGCTAATGCGCCCGCCTAATGAATATGAATGGCGCCTTCGTAAATGTAGCATCGTATCATTAAATTCTTTCACACCTCAGCAACCCTGGAAAGGTTACTTGGAATTAAATGTAAATTACATATTTACTGGAATGAAACAGATCGGCGTGTCATTCCTTTGAAAAACATCATCTAATTTAATAATGGCACAAACTTTCCTGACAATCAGCTGGGCCCCTCTCCTCGGTCGGTGTGTGTTGTGTGTGTTGTGTGTGTGTGTGTTGTGTGTGTGAGGCTGAGTGCTGCCAAATCCCCATTGGCTGCTGTCTGCCCTTTTCCTTCATCCTGAATATCTTTCTTTGCTCCTGTTGGACCACAAAAGAAGAAATGAATGTTCCCCATATTCCAGCAATGCCATTCACCATAATTAGACCATTAAAGACCGTGTTCAATTGTGTTGTAAAACAGATGCATCACACAGAGAACAAGTAGCTTTAATTCTTCAAACAGTTGGAAGGGAAACTCCAAGCTTTTGGTGAGCGGCTGCGGCTGCTGGAAGGATGCTGAAGGTCTCTGCGTGAGCGTCATTGCCAAAGATATTTCCCAAAAGATGGTCCATCATTAAGTGAGGCGTTGAGCCATTTGCAAAATGCTCTAATGGTCACAATTCCCTTGCACCACCACCCTAAAAACTGATATTTTGTCTCCCTTGATAAAACCCACAAAGATGTTCAAAGCAGTTAAGATTTTTCATATTGACGTCCTGCTTTCCATCAACACAAGCTGGCTATAGTGCTTAATTAAAACCTAAACCTACCCAGAGATCAACCCATTGGTCCTAGGATCCTTGTTCCTCAGACTTTAAGGCACACAGTTGGCCTGCTGAGGATCTTTAACTATCCCTTGTGGTCTTCCGTCTTTGTTGCAAAGCCCTCCCAAAACTGGTTTGGGTGCAACCAAGTCCAATCTCCCAGTTCATGGCTGAGATCTATATGGCTGGCATGGGGTGCAACTTTCCCAATGCCACATTATTAGGAAATTTCAGTGTTGCACTATCCATTGCCTCATGTGCATCAATGCACTGTCCAAAAGGATGTGGACAAGCTGGGAGGGTGACCAAAATAGCCAAAGGTCTGGAAACTACCATGCTCTTTGAGGATTGGCTTGGGGAGCTGCTGGATACGTTCAGCCTGGAGAAGAGAAGGTTAGACCGAGGGTGGTATGATGGCCATATTTGAATATTTGAAGGGATGTCATATAGAGGATGGATGATCCAGAGAACAGGACCCAGAGCAATGGACACAAGCTACAGGAAAAGAGATTCTAACTAAACTTTGGGAAGAACATCCTGAAGGTAAAAGCTGTTTGACAGTGGAAGATGCTCCTTGGAAGAATGGTGGAGTCTCCTTCTTTGGAGGTTTTGAAACAGAGGCTGGATGGCTATCTGTCAAAGGGGATGCTTTGATTGTGAGTTCCTGCATGGCAGAATGGGTTTGGATTGGATGGCCCTTGGCGTCTCTTCCAACTCTATGAATCTATGATTCTAAGAAATGCTCAAGGATATATGGACTGGTGTTGGCTGGAATATTGTGTATGTCTTATGTATGTGTTGGCTGGACACTTTGGTCTAATGCAGGACCCCCACCTTCCATTCCAGGTGCCAGAAGCAGGGTTGTGCATGCACATCTGGATCTGCATTGGTTTGCACATTTGGCCCAGTTGCATAATGCATAATAAACCCAAGGATTGCCCAAAACAATGAATGTGTAACTCTGCAGACCTTGGCTCTCCTCGGTGCTAGTCTTCTGTCTTGCCGTTTGGCTCCATGGCTGAATATTGTCATCCCAGAGGTTTCTTGTTCCACCACAAGACTTCCTCTTCCATCAGTCGAGGAAATCGATGCTCCTTTGATGGTTTTGTTTGTTTTTACATAAATGCCGAGGCCAGAC